TGCTCATAAATGCGGGGTTGAACCTGATGATCTCCAGGGATCCTTGGAGAGAATTTATTAAACATTTATTCAGTCCAACAGGGCGGTGGAAAAGCATCAGTTGAAACTTTTTCTGTGAGAAAGTCACGTAAAAAAGTGTGTAAGGAAGGTTATAAAAGCTCTGTAATTTTAACTCTTTCCAGAGTTAAAAATCATCTTTAAACTGCTTGATAAATGTTTGAATGGAACCAAGTTCTGAAGGGAAACATCTAGGAAACATTTTTTGATTGCCTTTGTAATTAGTGTGGTATTTCTCTGATTTCAAATAGTATTCCTTGCTTTTATTGAATGCTTTTATCAAGGATTTTGGTTTTATATTAAATTGTTACTATTTTCCATAGTAGTTGATAGGTTAGTTTACCACTTTCTATTACTTATTATAAATTCACAATTTAATAAGTCCCATTTATTCCAAATGTCCCTCTGCTTTTCCTGCTGTGTTGTTTCAGATTTCATCACTAAAAATGCAGATCCAGTCTCAGGAATCAGATTTAAAATTACAGGAAGATGACCTTAATAGAGCAAAAGCAGAGCTGAATCGCCTCCAGCAAGAAGAGACTCAGCTAGAGCAGAGTATCCAGGCTGGAAAAGTGCAGCTTGAAACAATAATCAAATCTTTAAAATCAACCCAGGAAGAAATAAACCAGGTATTCAATGTGGTTCATACATTTTTTTGGTTCTTGAACAAAAATGTTGCCTAGAAAAAATTCTTTTTTTAGAGAAGGAAAAAGTGAATTAGTGAAATAAGTAACTTTGACTGGTGCCTCATAGGTTAATTCCCAGTTTGACTCAGAAAACATTCAATTCTTTCAGGAATAAAATGCAACTGCCTGGCACCAGCGTTTCAGAAGACTCTAAGAATGATGGTGTTGTTGAATTTGTAACATTCCAAAGCATTTTTTCCCTTCTCAGGCAAGAAGTAAACTCTCTCAGCTGCAAGAGAGCCATCAGGAAGTGAATAAGAGCATTGAGGAATACAATGAAGCTCTCAATGGCATCCATGGAGGAAGTCTGACCAATTTAGCAGACATGAGTGAAGGCCTTGGGCACACAGAAAGAGGCAATTATGGAGCTGTGGTAAAGAAAAAAAATTCTCTTGTTTGGTGTGTTTGACACTGATGAAGCTTCTGACTTGCACCTCATGTGAAGTGGTTGTTTTGTTGGGATTTGGGGTGTGGTTTTGTGGATTTGTGACCAGTCACATGTTCAGTCTCAGGACAGAGGTGGGGCTCTATTTCCAGTTCAAGTGTTTTGTTTTTTCTTKCACATTGTTCACTTCACCAAAGTGAAACTTTCCCTTTATCACATATTTCCTTCTTATTTCCAAAAGAAGCTSCACAAATTTCTCCTTTGCAGTGAGCTGTATTTATTACACATCTCAGTAAAAAMCATTTTCCCTTTCTGAAAGGATGATTCTCTTTTGCATAAATAATTCCAGCAYCRTCTTTCTCATTTATTATGTTTTTTTTTTTCAATCAATTTTTCCCAAATCATAGAATCTTTCAAGTTCTTACACATTTTTCGAGTCAATTTCTTTAGAGCATCTACTGTTGATTTGGGTATTAAATAATCCTCTAAATCACAAGAATTTTTTATAAAGCCTATTCTTTTTTTTTAAAGCCTATTTCTTGTCTTAAATAAGACAACATAAAAGTTGCATACTTGCTTGATTCTGCTTGCACATCTGTGTGGCCCTTCCTTGTTATGGAAATGTTTACCCTTGTMAGCACAGTATTTGCTGTGGATTTAGTATGAAGTCAAATATATAAATATTTAGTAGTAAATATAAATATAATTAAGGATATTTATAATTTATCTTTATATTTATTTATATAAATATGAATGTAAATGTAAACATCCATATAAATGTAAATAGGAATAGAAATAGGAATAGAAGTGTAAACATAAATATAAAAAAACCCTAAAATATGTAAATATAAATATAAATATAAATATAAATATAAATATAGATATAGATATAGATATAGATATAAATATAAATATTTAGTGTTATTAAATATTCACTGGGCATGGTCTTTATGCCATGCTTCACACTTGCTCTGTACTGCTCAGAAGAAGAAAACTGTAGATAAAAAAGGACAGTAAATTAAGAAACATGGACTTAAAGGTCTTAAAACATTTCAGTACATTGTTTCTCTGCTTGCATGGTTTGCATAAATATATTTAATTTCCAGTGAAAACTTCCAAATGTTTCGCTTCCTTGCAAAATGCAGGAGTCACTTACTGGCAGAAGGCACCAGTCTGTGTTGGCAGCAATTTTTTAAACCATTGTGCCACTTTCCTGTTTCTCAATTCTTCCTTCCTCTTCCTTCTCTCCCCATCTCCCTCCCCCTGTTCTGAGAAGTATTAATGAAGGTATTTTCATTTGCATCTYGTGAAGGGATGAAGGAAATCCCATTTCTTTCTGGTGCTGGGGCAGTGGCAGTGGATGTTCTGGATATTCCTTCCTTTGGGATGAAATGGTTCTGATTATCCCTGAATTCTGCAGGTGCTGCCTGCATTTGGKGTTTCTTCAGAGACCCCAAACCAGACCCAAGCCAGGAAAATGGAAATGAACACCATGAAGAGGTTTCATAACTTCAGTTTGCTGCTTGTTCACATCACACAGGGTTTTTTCTGCAACTTGGCAAACTTTAGATTTGGCCTCTGCTGAGAAACCTCTTGTCATCAGAGTGTTGGGGTGACTCTTCCTGCACTTTATCGTGGGAAATCAGGATTTGGAGCTTTAAGCTCAAAGATGAGTTCACAAGAAGCAATCTGATATCTGCCCACTCAGTAGTAATTTATTGTAGTCCACAGATTATTTATGTATCCTTTCCTTTTAAATGAATGTCTTACCTGAAATAGTGGGGAAAAGAATTTTTGGATAGTTTGGTGTTTGATCTTGGTTTGCTTTTGTTATTTTAAGTGTTTGAGAGTTGAATATGTTAATATGGGCCTCAGTTTAACATTTAATTGCTATTTGTGCTGTTATCTTTTGATGTTCTGCATAGCCTTGGGCTACACATTTCCTTCTGCTGTGTAATCACTTCTACTTAGAAGTCACATATTCAGAAAGGTTTTTAGGAAGTCATTTTGAAGATTGTTAAACAGGAACCAAGATAGCATAAATGGGTAACTGAGTGTTTTTATCAYGATGAGTTGCTGTGATGTTTCTCCTCTCAATTTTTAGGATGATCCGTTTAAGAACAAAGCTTTGATGTTTACCARTAATACCCAAGAATTGCATACAGACCCATTCCAGTCAGAAGATCCTTTCAAATCTGATCCATTTAAGGGAGCAGACCCCTTCAAAGGCAGTAAGTGAKGAGTTCTTACCTGAGACCTTGAAGACCAATTGTTGAGTAAATTCACACATTTTTATCATCTCGCTAAATTGCAAATAAAATAAATTATTTCTCTCTTCTGTGCAGGTGACCCATTCCAGCATGATCCTTTTGCAGAACAGCCCCCTGCTCCAGCAGGTAATTACCCTTTTTAATAACAGGACAGATGTGGTGTGAGCAATTTGTAGCCAAACACAAAGATTTGCAAACACAAAGGAAGCACAAAGATTTCCCTGGCTTCAGATTTTTGGTTTGCATGTGGGAATGCAGAAACCTGACAGGGTTTGTTCAGAATGGATGTGTTAATGAGAAATGTGAAACTCTTCATTAAACCTGAAAGCTCCATATAATCATGTTCAAACTTAATAAATACCCTCTGCAGAGGAAGAGATATCTGGAAGTTTATCAGATTTACCAAATCAATGTGTGTTTGTGTATGAAAAATCACATCAGTGAGGTCAGATATWGAATATTTTTTATGCTACATTTTATTTACCTTTTCATGCTCCTTCTAGATCCGTTTGGAGGAGATCCTTTCAAGGAAAGTGACCCATTTCGTAGCTCTGCCCCTGAGGATTTCTTCAAGAAACAGGTGAAGAGTGACCCATTTACCTCAGATCCATTCACAAAACCCCCCACTTTACCCTCAAAGGTCAGTAATTTTWAAATCTACGTTTCATAGATTTCTGTACTATTGACAATCTTATTRTCTGAAAGYTAAAAGGAGTGAAATAACACAAAATCCTTTTCTCCTGACTGATGAAATATCATTAATTTTGTTCTTAAAATGTAACTGTGGATTATTCAGGCAGTCAGCAGAGCTCTCTCTGGTTCCATGAATGAACAGTGGTGAATGTACCTTGTTAGTGGATATTTTTTTCTCTCTGTTGGGAATTTCAAACCAGCAGAACCYCCTCATTCCCACCATTCCCTCCATCCCATAGATTGGTGCAGTCACACAGTGAATGAGMTGGAGGAACTGCTCCCAACACCAATTTCAGTCACTGAAAAGTTTATTTGTCTTCACTGTAGGATTATACTTCAATAAAAACAGATTTGTCAAACTGAAGACCAGCTGTAAATGCCATYTGTTTAAAAAGAATCAATATTCAGATTCTGAATTAATAATAATATAAATGCTTGGCTCGAATATTCAGTCTCTGCTGCTTAAAGACTGAACACTTCTGGGTGTATTTTCAGATTTTGCCCTGGTAATTAATGTTGGTTGTATTTCAGTGGGATGTTCTTCTCACCTGGTGTTGTGTTCAAGGCTATCAATAGCCAAATGCACTAATAATATAAATTTCATATCATCAGTAGATTTTATCCTATTCTGTCCACTGAATAGAGTGGAAATTGGAAATAATTTGGCTTAAAGCAGAGATTTTCATAGGCATAAAAAATGCCYATTCCAGCAGAAAAATAATTCTGTATATCTGTTCTTATTTAGCCTGACCCTTTTGAAAGCACTGATCCCTTTACGTCTTCCAGTATCTCTTCAAAAGGTCCAGGTAAGAAATAAACATTTTCACATGAAGATGAATAAGGAAATGTCTTTTTATGAAAGAAGAATCAAATATGAGAGTTGAGAATAAAGAGCCTTGTGAGCTGTTGGCAAAAAGCATCATGGGCTTGTTACAGTTCATGAAGAGTGTCTTTGTGGCACTATATATTCCACTTTTTTTCTTAATTTCTCTCTAAAAAAACTGGTATAAAACCTATTTTTGTGGAATTGTCTTTTAACATCTCATGGCCGGTCAAAATTCAGATGTGTTTTAATCACCTGCCTGGTTTTGTTAATCATTGGCACCACCAAGCATTCTTTGTAATTATTARTTATTAATTATTATTCAGAATAACATTTTTTTCCCCTGTGTTTGTTCCAGATCCGTTTGGAACGCTGGATCCATTTGGAAGTGGTGCTTTCAGTGGTGGTGAGGGATTTGCAGACTTCAGTCAAATGTCAAAGGTAAAGGCTAAAAGGAAAGCAATTATCCTTTTAAAAATGTGTGTACAGACACTTCAAAAAAGTGTGATGTGATTGTAACTTTCCACCTGACATTGGAAATTTTGTTCATTTTTTTTTCCAATCAGCCTCACYAGTTATAAAGCAAAAAAATTTTCCAACCATGTCAAATATGGCAAAGTGTTACTAAGACTGGTAGATTCAGTAGGGATAAATAAACTTTTCACAAGTGTTTCCAAATACCAGAGCAGGAAAAGAAATGAACTTGTATTTTAAACTTTTAAGAAGAGGTAGTTGTTGTGGATATTAAAAATATTTCAGTGTCCAGCCCTCCTCTAACTCCTGGAATTTGCTTCTTGGTTATTTCATAGTATCCTGAATTGTTTCTAAACTTACCATAAAATCAGGTTGGATAAAGTGTCTGAGATCCAGTCTAACCATTAGCAAAACWTCACTAAATATATTAAATTAACCTTACTGTAAACCCACCCCAGTCTTAACAGTCAATCAGTGTTTTAAATGTGAAATTTCTGTTCATTTGAAATAACAGATGAAGGAAAAGGTTCAGGACACACACGAAAAAAAAAAATGGATAATTGGGAAGGTCTTGATCTGCTGTTGCTTTCCTTAGGTGGAGTTTGGAATTTGCAGTTAACACCAGTGCCCAACTCCTTAAATTGGTTCTGCAGTAATGCTTGAACTCTGCAGAGTAAATGTTAAAATAGGTTTATTTTATTATTTTATTATTATTTAAATTATTATTATAACTTTGATTAATTACATTTCTTGGTGGGGTTTTTTTCCCCCTGATTTTTGTTACTGTTTTGGGGAGAATTTTAATTCTCCACTAGATGGCAACAGCCTTCCTCAAAAGATGGGGCTSACTTGAGGTAGAAATTTTAGCAAAGGTTTGAGTGTAATTTTTACCTTTACTCACAAAATTCCTCTTTCTTCATTTCACAGGGATAAATTTCCCTGTGTGGCATAATACTTATGTGCTTCTTAATCTATAGGAGAGTCTTTTAGAAAAACCTATAGGAATGTGGGATATTCAGGATATTTCTGGATATAGGAAGCATTAAACACTATTCCTGAATAAAGGAAGTATTAAACACTTAGATCATCTCTAAGGTTTTGCTAAAAAGTCCATGTAATTTTGGAAAAACTTGGAATAAAATTCTCCCTTGTTCAGTTTGCTGCGTTTTTCCAGGTTCTGTCACGTTCTGTTTATCAGAGGAAAGGTCAGCCTGTGGTATGACTGCTCATTGCCAAATAGTAAAGAGTAGAGTTTTACTTCCTTTTATTTTCTCATCAGCTTTTTGCCAGAACTAAAAGTTCTAGAAGTACTTAAATGATTAAGAGCATAATTGCTTTTAAATGTTAATGGAATTTAGCACCTCTRTCTTTGGGCATTAACCTCTTCCACCACTGACCATTCTGTACATCTGCCCTCAGGTTTTGAAATGAATGCTTTTACCTGAGTTAACTTCATGAAAACACAGGTGTTCTTACATCCTTTTTTTTTTTCTTTTTTTTTCTCATGTAGTCAGTAGCTTCAGACCCTTTTGCCTCCTCTTTTGGAGGGGTGGGATTCACAGAGGACCCTTTCAAAAGCAAATCAGACACACCAGCGTTGCCACCSAAGAAAAACATCCCTCCACGACCCAAACCACCCAGTGGTAAGGAGATTTTCTTCTTTTAAAAAAACCACTTCTTTCAATTCACAGTGTTGTTAGTGGATGTAACAAGTTGACAGTCTGCTATCTCTCTTACATTTCAACCATGGAGGAAGAGATGAAGTTATCAGTAAATCGGTAAAATTGTTATCAAACCAGACCACAGCTCTTCAGACTGGAAAACAGATGATGAGAGAGTGTTGTGACAGATCTGTAAAATCACATGTGGCAGGAGAAAACAGGGTGGGGGGAAAAAAAAATCTATATTTTCTACATAGGGAACATTAAGATTAGTAAGTGGCACCTTCAAAATAAAGAGGTTTGTTTTTATACAATAATCTAAATTTAGGGTTTRTCTCTGGGTTTGCCAGAGAATATGGTGAATGCAAACAAGTTTAAATGGATGTAAAAAAAACCCTCTAGATAATTCTCAGAAGAAACAGGGACAACAGGGTGTCCCAAAATCCAAAATACTGGCTCTAACTCCTTTGTAGCTGAGTAGCAAGGCAGTGTGTCAATCTTTAGCTTGTTTTGATGTTCTTCCTGAGGCCTCTGACCCTACAAACTCACAGGAACAGGGTACAGGGTCAGACAGACCTGTCCTGTTCTCTCTGTCCAGRTAGGATCATTCTTACATTTGCACATTACTGCATGAATTAAACAGAAAACACTTCCTGAATATAAGGCTTTGTTCCTSCTTCAAGCCCGTTATTTATGGAAATCTGGGAGATAGATAAATCTCATTAATTGAAAATCTCTTAATGGAGCTTCAACTTCTGCTCTCCCTGGGGTTGTTTTCGAGAAATTCAGCTGCCAGTGAAACTGTTTAAAGAACTGAACTGAACTGAAGCCAGGTAGTTTCGAGTCTCCTCTAAACAGCAGTGGTAGAGTTCAGTTGATGCTGAAGGAACTTTCAGTTRGCTCAAAAAACCAACAAAAGCTGGGTTATAGATAGGCACAGAAATTTGCACTGAACACTTGGATCAACATCAAATATCTTTAAATATCCACAGTGTTAGGAAGTGTAGTACAAACAGAACAGATCCATGGTGAATGTCTCCCTCAGGGTGTGGATTCTCTGCCTTTCTGCATTTTGGAGCAGAGCACTCAGCCTGTTTGTGATGGATATTGTTGATCTGGCTGCTTTTATTATTTATCCCAAACTCCTTGGATAATCTTAAAAATGCTTTCTATGACCAAAGTATCCCTCATGTCATTCCCTATCCCATAAATTGCTCCAAGGTGTGGAAGATCCCATTTCACTACAACCAGACCATTGCAGCAGCATTAGTTTGCTGCTGCTGCTGTGATTTTATTGCTAAAGAGGTGATGGTGCACCCTAAAACTCTGAAAGCAGCAGATGAGGTTTTTTTGTAGGTGAGCATTGATCTAAACATGTCAGGAGATGCTTTAGGATTGTGGAAAAACCCTGGGAGCAGTTTGTTACGTGCTTGCTTTGTGTATTTTCTGCTCTTGGGGTGCTGAAGAGCTTTCAGTAATTAAAAAAAAACCTCCACACATTGAAAATACCAACCACTAGGACAGACACGAAGAAAAGGAGAAACAGAAAAGCTGAAGGGAATCTCATTTGTCAGTGATGTTATTTTTCTTTGTTTGGTTTTCAAGCAGAGAATGTAAAAAAGAAGCCTACATAAAATATTTGAATGTTTCCAGGGCCTATATAAAGTAGGATGATTCAAACAAACACTGAATATACCCAAGTTGCTTCTCATTTGTGGTTTCTTTCTATTCCTTGATAGAAACAGAATCACTCTTAGCAAGTGCAGTGTCATCGTAGCAGCAAAGGTGAGGACTGACTCACCTGCATGAGGCATTTTGGATTTCTGGGTCCCTCTTTTGTACCTRTTGAGGAATTTAGTGAATATTCAGCTTTATTAATATGTTTTTAATTTAGACACGTGCACTCAGCCTTTTATCAGTTGGTTAAAAATTATTTCAGTGTGTCTCTTCCCTCCTTCTAGGGGCATATAATATTTGTGAGGTTCCACTGCTCTACCAAGAGCAAATGTTGTTATGATCAAATAGACTGAGGAGGAAACAACAGGTTTTTTTTAAAGCAAGTGAGCCTCGTGTTTTTATGCAGCTCTACTCCTCCCTTCCTTCCACAACTAAAGCAATCTTCAGTGGTTACTTAAAGCATGAGAAATTATATAGTAATAGAGTGTGATGGCAGYGAGAGATACGGGCAGAAAATGTSTGTT